AGGCTTTCAAGAAAAAGGTCGTCTTTGGTCAGGGCGATAGTGTAATCCGCTGTGTTCTTAACATATCCTTCTTTCAGAAACCGAAACAGTGTTCTAGGAGGATACGAGACTTGTGAAAAGGAGCGATCTTCAAGAGACGATGGGCTCATTTAGAATCGGTGTGTGTATATATGACAGGATCAAAGATGTACGGAAAACGAAGAAACCGGTCCATCACAGAGTCTTCTCTCTGATTATCCAAATTATGATCTTCCCCGTATTGATAGAAGACAGTATATGTTATTTTACAGTTAACGATGCAAATATCTTATTGTCATAAAAGGATATGTGATACAGTCTCCCGTATCGGTCGTCGTTTCTTGTAACGGAGGGGTTCGTTTTGTTCGCACTATTCATTTTATAAAATACAAAATTATAAAATATCTAGTGTATAAATGCTTTAATATGTCACTGGTTGCCATAACGGCACAACAGCTTTAGCCGAAGCCAAAATCTAGTTGACAACATGTACAGTATTGTAATCAAGGCTGGTATCTACAAAGCTGGCGTATCTGTGCGAGCGATTGACAGGAAAATTCCTGGACAAATTACTTCTGGGACTGCTTATGTTTTGTACGAGTCAACGACGGGAACAGGACCTTTGGCTACAACGAACGGACGCCGAAACACTTATTAACTGAGGTAGGTTGTAATACAGGTGGTGGAATAAAACAATTCCATAGGCCATCGAACAACTTGAGCGATTTTTGAAATAATGCCTTAACCTTAAGTAGTCACGTTGCGTCATATCGATCCATTACTTTATCCCGAAGTATATTAGTTATTTTTTTCGCTTAAAAACAACTCAGCAATATAGAGTAACATTAACTAAACAGGGATTTTTGAAACAGACTAGGAACAGCGGATTTTATTAAAGCCCTTCGATCTTTTACACTGCAAGTTAGGAACCGACTGAAACAGTTCAAGGTACATTTTACGCAGTTCCCGCAGGTCAACTAATATTTTTAGTGTGAATTTTAAAAATAAACTTTTCTTACGCATATAGCCACCACAATATAGGGGAGGAATAAAAATACTGATTTATGACACAAGTTTTTTCCATGAAACCCACCTACACTCGGTCGAGGTACCTGGTACTGTTTTTGATA